CGACAGAAAATCGAGATATATCGATTTTGGTGATCCTGCCTTGCGCGATCTGTCCGATCTTCACTCGTTCTTCCGGGTTGGAAACTCGTTTATCCGACAGGTTCTTTGTCGGAATGAAGCCATTTAAGCCGTTGTCGAAACGTACTTTCACGCCCATGGCCTGACCAGGGCATTTACCCGCATCGAAATGATTCCACACTTCGGAGAGCTCAGGGAAATCGTTCTTTAGGCAAAACGGACACTGCCATAAGCCAGACTCATCGTTCCTGATTGGATTCGCCTGGTCGAGTTGTTCGCCCTGAGGCTTCTTCCGGGCTATGCCCGAAACTTGGCACGTGACGAGCTTGCCTACGAAAAACGTTTCCGGAGTCTCCTTCGTGAGGAGGTTGAATAGGATTTCTCGCTCGGGTGGTACGTATTCGACACGAAGATCTTTGTATCGGTTGTTCAGCTCGGCACGGATGTCGTACAAGGTGATGCTTTTGTTTCCGTAGCCTTGCCGTTCGAGTTCGACGGCGAAAGCGTCGAGATCGAGATCTTTGAGTTTGTCGGGATTCTCGAGAATCTCTTCGAGGGCGTCGGCTGGATTCAAATTCGCGTCCTCATTGTCATCGTACTCGAGCGCATCCGTCGCCATTTTCCGAGCCCATTCGTACATCTCTGGATGAACGCGCGATCCGTCAAGCATCTGAAAAGCGAAAATCCGTGAGTCAACTCCACTTCAGGAAGCTCGGCACTGATATTCGATGCGCCTCCGTCGCTCAATTACCTCGGCGTAGGCACTCGTGTTGTTGTCGAGGAAGGACCCGCTCTCGATGCGGATGAAACCCGCACAGTTTAGGAACACTTTCGGGCCGAGTTTCAACGTTGTGACCAGACTCGTTCGACTGTCCAACTTCGAATGACTCTGTTTGAGGGTTTTGATCATGGCGTGCGCTTTTCTCGGACCCAAGCCCGATACGAACTGCAGAAGTTCCGAAGTGTGTGACTGCTCCATGCACCGATTGATGTCGACCCCGACCTCGTTTGTGCGATTGATGAGCTCGAGGGCCAGAGCCCATTGGAACTCCTCTTTAGGAACATTGTCTTGGAGTGGATGGTACTTCAGACAGAGGATTTCTTCGTCCGGACCGCACAGCTGACTGAATTCTATCAAAGGATCCTGCATTCGGCGAGCAAGCGAGACCGCTTGCTTCAGCAGAGGTGGATATTCGCGAAACTCTTGCTCGGCACGTTTCGAATTCGCGTAAACGAGAGCTAGTCCGCAATCGAGAAGCATGACCTGTACCGCGGGGAATTGGTCGTCGTCTCCGAGTTCTTTGATGACCTGCTCCACATCCTCTTTGATGGACAGAGCTTCTCGGCTTTCCGCAGATATGACGACGCAGTGCGGTTTCTTCTCGGCGATGAATTTCTTCAGTTTTGCCAGGTCGCTGATCTTCGCCGCTCTCTCCGACTCGCGCCACGCGTTCTTGCGTTTGAGTATATTTTCGAGGCGAAGGTAATCTGTCACTTCACCATCTCCATTGATGAGAGCTCCGAAAGCTGGGACATTCCAGTCGTTCTGGTATGCGATAGCGAAGATACGGACTCCCTCTCGCGTGTCAAAATCTTCCTCCTCCTGGATCCAGTCCGGAGGATTGTATGGGGCCACTGGAGAATCGGAAAGACAGAGGAAAGTAGTACGTTTGTCTCATACCAGGGACTAGGCGAAATGGTTTTGAGGTATGAGAACTCAATATGGCGAAAATCTTCTGAGCGTAACTCACCTTTAAGCCAGTTGTAGAACTTCTTCGACACCGAACGGAGCACATTATCGTAAGCTTCTCTCAGCAATCGCAGTTTGAGTTCTTTCTCAAAAGTCGGATACAACATCTTCGTCAAAGCGTGATTGAGAGCTTCCTCTCGTTGAGAGTTCCATTCCTGGACGTTCTTCGAGAACTCGTCTCGGTGATACAGTTGACGCACCTCACTGGCGTAAGTGCCGTTTTCTGTTGGTGGATAGAGATCGTTAGAAGCAATTCGAACACAGGGAGTCGCGATCGAAATTTCCGTGGGGCTGTCGTGAGCAGGGCGCTAGGAGAGTCTCCGATAAAGTCGCGAAGTCTTCGTTCACTCACCGGCGCATCCATCGCCATCCATACGGATGGATATCTTGAGCAGTTTCTCTTCTTCGGCCATGCTGAGCTTGAGGTACTGATCCGCTTGAAGGGATCTGACCGGCTTGTTTTTGAGGTACTTGAACGTGTAGCAGGCATGCGACTCGTCGATCTCTTTCGATCCCTTTTTCGTCGGAGCGACACAAAGTTTCGCTCGCTCGAAGAATGTTTCTCGTACGCACCGTCTGACCGTCGGATCGCGAGCGATCTCACATGCTACCATGTACCGGGCGCCATTCAGGACTTCGAGAGGGGTCTTGAGTCGCTCGTTGACGTACTCAGCCGCAGCTTCCAAAGGCTGCACGGGGAACTGGACGACCTCATGCCGCTGGTAATTGTCTCTGAGATTCTCTCCGAATTGCTGCGGCGTCAACCCGAATTTCTTAGCGAGTGCGCTCAATCCCATCTCGCGACAAACGGCGAAGCCGTCCTTGCGTCTCGATTTCTTCAGGAATAGCTCCTCCTCGCCTTCGTCCATCTCCTCTTCTTCGTCAAGCCCACCGTCGCCGCCGGCTTCTCTCGCAGCTCGCTGCCTCTCGAGTCTTTTCACGCGTTCTTCCTCGCGCTTTTTCTTCCGTTTCTGTAGATTAGCTTCCTGCATCGCCGGCAGATCCTGGGCGTAGTACAGGAGAAAGTGAAGGTAGACGTCTTTCAGCTCCGTCGGGCGACTGAGCGTCTCGGAGACGTTCAAAATCGTTCTCTTCGATCTGTGACGAAAGGTCCGATGTTAGATTATCGTTCAAATGAGCCTCGGGAAGGGAACAGACGGAAGCAAATGCCAAGATGGACCCATCGGGAGCGATGGCTTACCTGTCTGAGATGCTCAGCCGCTCCATCATCGTTCAGAATTTGCTCACAGATGTACTCTTGCATTTTCTTGAACAGCTTCTCCATATTCTGTTTCTGCTGGCGGAGTTGACACCATCGCTCGTCCCATCTGCAATGAAGGTTTCCAACGTCACGCATCTGATCGTTTTGGGGGAAAATAGTTTCTTCTCTCCCGCCGCGGTGGAGAACAGACTGCCCTCCGACGCGTAGCCTACTCACTTGTATATGATCCACAGATCATTGATGGTCAGATCGGGCTGGACGTATTCTTTGCGATAGAACGCAATGAATGGCACCTCGAAGTGCGAATTTCTCATGAATCGCAGAGCTTCAGCGATCTTCGGGACTGCACTGCGGTTCTTCCGTCCTCCGAGCGGTTGGTGTCCGCTGTTCCGATCTCCGGACGATGAGGGGGAGGACGACTCCTGGCTCCCTGACGGTTTCTGTACGGATATGGTGGACTTTTGGAAACATTGTCTGTAGATCCACTCGGCTTCCTCCGCGATTTCGATCTCGTCCGCCGGTGTTACTTTGACGCTTCGCAATTGGAATCTCTCCGGTTCGTCTGTTGCCCGGATCTCTTGATCGCTTAAATTTGAGGTATCTCTGAGTTAAGTTTCGCGCCTATGAGTATTATCCAGCTGCTGGCATATCGAAGTTGAGAGCGTCCCCTCACCGATCAGTGAAATGACCGCGTTCCAATTCGATGGGCTCGAATACGTCAAAGATGGATTTTTTCGCCGGGGCTTTCTTTCTTGTGACGTCGCTCTTCACCCTGACTTGGTCTCCTTCCTCCTCATCTTCATTGTCTTCTTCTTCTTTGGACTCCTCGTACTCATCTTCGTAAGCACGAACATCGTCGAAGTCTACGGGGGAAATTGATTCGTGAAGGGGGCTAGTCAATCCGAAGACCGCTCAGATACGCTCGAATGCTGTAATTCGAATCAGGACTACGGATCTGGACATACCAAAATCTCCTCCGAAAATATCTTGAGCCTCTTGCAAAGCACTGTCCGAAAATTTCACATGTCGCTTCTTTTTTGGCTTGGCGATTGGCCGGCCCTCGTCATCGACGATGAAATCATTTACATCGTCATCCGACGCGGATTCCGATCCGAGGTCTTCCTCCTCCAAGGCCTCGGCGACCGGCTCCGCTTGTCCTTCCTCTCCATCTTCAAACAATTCCTGAGCCACAGCATCTTTGTCCTTCTCCTTATCCTCTTCTTCGTCATCATCCAGGACCTTCACGCGTTTGAGCTTGCGTTTCCGTTCAACTTTACAGCCGAGATTCTCTTCGATAAGGTCGTAGTCCTCGTCTTCGAGGTTATCGTCGAAGTCATGATGTCGACGTTTCTTCGATTCTCGCTGGCTGTTCGCCTTATCTCCATCTTTGTCCTCAGTTGCGCTCTCCTCGCCAGAGCTCGACGAGCCAGGGGAGCCTTCGACCTCCTCTTCATCATCGTTAATGAGATCTTTCATCTCCTCCTTGATTCTATCGTCATCATCTTCCTCCTCCTCTTCGTCGGAGTCACTTTCGATCGTTGCTTTCTTCCTCGACGTTTTCTTGCTCGAGGACGCGCCGTCGTCTTGAGTCTGCTCCTCCTCCTCCGAGCTCACCTCAGCCTCACTTTCAAAGAAATTGCTCATCTCGCCCGTTCTTATCGTTGGCGTGGATCACCGGTTAGCTCAGAATCCTCGGATCTGTAAGCGAAAGCTCGATACCATGAGAATGAATTCAATCGCGTTATAGTGCGCAGTGACTGAACAGCTCTCATTTCGCGTAACCTGGCACGGATATGCGACCTCCGAATTGGCTCTCTACGTTCAAGATCCGGACAAACTACTTGATCGGAATGACAACTGCGAACAACTCGGGTCTTCCTCTCAAGATCGGACAACAGATCTCGGAAACCTACTCATCATCTTAATCATGACTTGAGCGACTCGTGTCAATCAGACAGCCATGTGTCTCGACAATAACGAAGAGGTACAGTACCGCCAAGAAGTTTCGACGTCGACGCAGTCACTATATGGGCTGAAAATCGAGTTTCGAAGGGAAGATGGGAGGGCCTCAATATTTGCAGGGGGTATTCCCCATCGATAGAGGGAGCTTCCAGTCGAATTTCATTTCGATATTCCCACTCTAACCCCTAAAAAAAAATTAAACGCAGTCCGCACCGACCTCATCCGAGAGTTCTTCAAATTTTGGCGCGCCTCCAGGAACTCTGGGCCTAATCGCGGACTAATTTCCGTTACATTGCACAACCGAGCGCGTGTAGAAATCCTACGTCAATGATATCGCGTTCCTGACACGTCAATGACGAAAATATTTCTGATTTAAGGCTCGCGTGGTGGCCGAGTGATCAACGCTACCGATGCAACCTGCCATCTTCGTGGAGATCTGAGGTTCAGCTCCCTCGGGGCCGGCCGTTTTTTCCCGTCGGGTGGTCTCCTACCAAGGAGTCTCCTATTCAAGCAACGCCAAGCCCGTAGAGTCAATATGAAAGCTCGTCGCTCTCGATTGTATTCGATCGTTGATAGTGAAGAAGTTGACCGTCGACCGCAACTACGACGGCGTCTGCGTTGCGCGGTGTCTTGCAATGGCACCCCGAGCTCAACTTTCCACGGAAAAGAGATCCGCAATAATTGCCTTGCACAGAGCGGGATTCAAATACCGAGAGATTGCTCGCATGGAGAGTGTTTCTGAATCCGGGGTACGGTATACAGCGAAACGGTTTGGAGAAACGGGCGGTTATGCAGATCGACCAGGGAGCGGAGCGCCTCGAAAAACTACTGCGAGAGAGGATCGACTGATCGTGAGAATGAGCCTTCGCAATAGACGAATGTCACCTCGAGATATTCGTTGTGAACTCCTGCAGGCGGGACAACAAAACGTCTCAGTGAACACGATCAAGAGCCGTCTAAGATCAGCAGGATTAGCTGGCCGTATTGCAAGCTGCAAGCCTCTTCTCCGCCCTATAAATCAGAAGAAGAGACCCGCTTGGGCTAGAGAACACGCGGGATGGAGACACTCAGATTGGTCAAGGGTCCTTTTTACCGACGAGTCCAAATTCGAATTATTCAGCACAAAGAGACGCGTATCCGTTCGCCGTACAGTCGGGGAAAGCATGCTCCCTGCTTGTCTCAAGCCTACCGTCAAGCACGGGGGCGGCTCGGTAATTGTTTGGGGATCTTTTGGAGCCGGCGATCTCGTAAAGGTCGACGGACGAATGAAGGCGACAGACTATCATCGAATTTTGGTGCGAAACGCCGTCCCTTCTGGGAATCGTCTCATCGGTCGCGGCTTCGTATTCCAGCAGGATAATGATCCAAAACACACGTCCCATTTGTGCAAGAATTATTTGCGTTCCAAGGAGGCAAGACTGTCTGTGTCAAATGTTTCTTCGTTGATTATTATCATATCCATTGAGAATTTCATTGAAGCTTCCATAGGCTCAATGCTGAAGAGTCCCATTTTTGACGATTTTTTTGGAGGCCTCAAAGTGACCATACGCAGCTAATATTTCAGTTTTGAAATACTCTCGGGTAGAGGATCCTATGACCAAAATTTCAGCTCGATCGGCCATGATCATGTTCTGCACTCCCCTGGAGGGTGCCTAGTATTCGCGCTGCAGTGATTAAGGCTAAGGGCGGGTTCTTCGAAGAAGACAAGATCTAGAGCGTTCTTCGCGAGAATAAAAATGTGCTGAATCCTGATTCATTTTTCTCGATATCGATCGGAGATATCGGCCAGCACATCGGCTGAGAACTCAGTCTGCTGATGGGGACTGCTCTTTCACGGAGACCCTGTGGCCATCCCCGGAGGAATCGCCTCCCCGTGCGAATCCATTTTCCGAGATCAGCGTAGAGGAAGTGCTGCCGACAAAGAAGTTGGCCGCGGCAACGGACCACGTCGCTTTCGTCTTCATCTACCTGTCGCTCGATACTGATTCATTTGGTCTAAAACTCTATTCTCAACTAAATTCGAGGGTGCGTTGAAACTTCTTGGCGGTACTGTATATGTCCGAAGGACTGAGTTCTCTATTCACTTTTTCAGAACGGATCGAAGCGTTACTCCCGATCGTCAACAAATGCACGAAATCGTCTAGACATGTCCCGCAAATGTTTCAGCCGGAGACATTGCCGTTGGGCTTCGGGAATTCAGACTCGCAACGATAACTTTGAGCGGATGAGTGTTCTCAGCCCGGATACCTGGGCACGATTCGCAATATAGCGGAATTGAAACCGGCCCATAGAATTCTGATCCCACTTTTGTTTTCGATGGCGCCGTCTCCCAGACCCTCGCTCAATCGCTTTCTGTATACAAATCCACTGTGATCCGTCGCGCGCGCTCAGCTTGTTCGCACATCGCACCCATCGTGCGACGTGCGATCTATTCCGCGACTGTGAGTTTCCGGGAGAGCGACAATAATAACTTCCATCAGAATGTATTTAAAGGTTTTCATACCGATTGAGCTGGGGATGCGGCAGCACTTATCTCCCGTGTCAGTGCCACGAAGCGCTCTTATTGGAAAGTGAAGGGGATTTGTTCCTGTGCAGTCAGTCTTCTTGAAGAAATTTTCGACACTCGAAGCAATTTTTCGGGATGGAGCTAGCTTCTGAGGCACGAAACTCACTGCCGAGTATCTTAATCTGTATGGATGCGCTCCTATATATATATATAATGACATTTATTGCGTGTTCTGTACACATTAGGAACTACGTTCCTCCGAGTTGTGTTAATCCCGGACTATAATTACATGTCAAGGCATGATATCGTTGGCAACATTCTCCACATAATCTACATATGCAAGTGTCTACCGGCTCATGTTGTCCCTCAGTGCTGCATAGTAGGTGATGGTAGCCATGGACCAGATATCTTGCGTAGATGTGCCGCCTTGTGTTCCTCGAACATGACCAGGTGTCCCTCTGTTGCAGAATGGGATCATCTTCGAGTAGTTTCTTTGCCTCACTGTGTTTGTACTTCCACTTGTCGAAGAATTTCTGTAATTCTGGCGTTGTCTCTGAGTTTAACCTGACTCTCATCGTTTCAACTATCGGTGCCTCTATATCAGCCAGAATGTACAAGTATCTGTTACGGGCGTTTTTTGGAACTCTGAAAACTCTCTTTAGATATGTACAGAAGCATTTCTCGAACATTTCATAGTTTCGTTCACTCAAGTGGTGCCAAACTCGCTTCATTCCGTAACTCAGCTTTGGAAGTGCTTTGATTAAGAACAGTTTCAGGGCTGTTTCGACCGATAGGTGGTAGGGATCGCCTATTTCTGCATACATAACCGCGATTGTCTTACAACAGGTTTCTTCTACATGATCAGTGAAGCATGTTCCTGTGGTTTGTAGGCGGATTCCGAGGTATTTGGCCGTAGACACGAACTCCAGAGGCCTTCCTTTCCACTTGATTCTGTCGTGTCGACCTAGAGGGCCACCTTTTCTTATTTTGAGCACCATCGTCTTTGAAGGGTTCAGTCGAAGTTCTTGCATCTCTAGGTATTCGCCAACCATATCGAGCATCTTTTGTAATTGCTGTCGGTGTTTATGCATTATGATGATGTCATCCGCGAACATGACGATAGTCCCCGTTCTGAATTCTTCCAAGATCTTCTTCGGCAATCCTGCGAGTAGCAAGGAGAAAGCTGAACAGCTGAGCGGGTTTCCTTGCGGTGTCCCTCTGTTTTGCTTGATGTTGACACACATTTCCCCGCCAATGTTCACTTTGAGTTCATCTTGCTTGAAGAAGCTTGCTATGACACTCAGTAGCTGACCATTCACCCCTGCTTGTCTAAACTTGTCTAGTCATTTTTTGACGCGGGGCAAGATCAAACGCTTTCTGGCAGTCGATGAAGATCGCATATGTTTGCTGTTCTCGACTGGCCAAACTGCGTTCAATTTCTGACATGACAACGTGTAAAGCGTCTTGTGTTCCTACCCCCCTCCGGAAGCCAAATTGTTGTGGTGGTAGGAACGCATCTAAGGCACATTCTATGCGCCGAATTACTCCCTTGAAAAAGATTTTTTTCAAGGTATTTTCGCTTGCTATCCCTCTATACAAATCCATGTTGTTTTTAGGATCCGTAGGTTTCCCTTTGAAGAGCAGTGTGATGGACGGTTGATGCCAGGTCTCGGGGATTCTTCTTTCCACCATTATCTTGTTGAACAGATTTGTTACTGGTTCTGCTGCGAACCTATATAGCCATGACCATGAAGCACCCCGCAAACGCCCTCTCCCTCTCTCGGGTTCACTATCAGGCTTTTCGAAATCACTCGCTCATAGAACGCGGAGCCCCACATTCCGGAAAGAGTTAATGACTTTCTACGAAGGTGGATTCCTCAGCCAATGATTTTTCAATTGGGTGGCCCCCTCCGCGACTCACGAGAGGTCTCTCTCCGTAATCAGACCCCAGCGAGAACGGATCGCAATGCGATTTCGAAATACCTCGTGGATCGAAGAGACGATGAACATTCCGCAGCATGTATCCTCCCCGAATGCGCTGTACAAACCGAACATCAAAACTCGCAGGGGTCTGTCGCGAAGTCGACGCATGTAGTTTCATTGAGAGATATTCTGATTCGTAGACCATTCAGCTGGATCTCTCCCTCTTTCTTCTTAGTCTCGGTAAATTCGATGC